TCTTAAAGCTATCACACAAGAGAAGTGACAAGATAGGATGGACTCTAGTGATTTGCATTTCTTTTCAGTGAGTTTATGACTCTGAGAGTATTACTTCACTTTCTTTCTGATGAGCTGTGTGTCTGGGTACAATATTCTGCACCCATTGCAGCTCATGGGAGATGGTTCATGAGATTTAGCTCTTCAAACAATATTACACACCTCTCTCCTGTGAGAACTCTAGAATAGAATACAAGCAACAGTCTGTCACTTCTCTCAGCATATTTTTGCTGTGAAAGTATTGGCTGCACATATCAAATCACCATGGTATGAGATTATACACATATAATCATTTCTTTCCAAGGCTTCAGGAATAATACAGAAGAGAAAACAAAAAGACAGATGCCCACTTGCCAGGTCTGGCAAAGCCATCTAAGTGATTTTCCTGGCTGTTCCACAATCACACAATTAGATGATCACTGAAGTTAGAAAAGACATCAGGTAATCATCTAGTCCAGCAGTCACTTAAAGGACTGTCAGCAACAGTTGGGGCCATTTGTAGGCAGGTTTTTGACACATCTAAGGAAGGAAACTACAAAATATCTTTGAATGCCTTCACAGTAAAAAAAAGTATTAGTTTTTAATGTTTCCATGTCCTTAATTTCAATTTATGCTCATTTCCTCTTCTCCTTTTGCTGAGTACCACTAAGAAGAGTCCGGTTTCATCTTTTTTACCACCTCCCACAGCAGGCACTGTAAGCCTACCTTCACACCAGAGAGTTCCTCAGTTATTTACTAATTGTTGCGGCTCCTTCAGTGAACTCACCCCAATATACAGGTTTTTCTTACCAGGGTAAAAGTTTTGCCTAACAAAAATTTTTAGGCAGCTCATAACTTTAAGATAATTTTGACATCAAACTTCAGAAGTATTTTACTGTCTGTTCTGAGTACATGATTTCTAAATGCTCAAAAAGTTAGGTGGGAACTGAACAAGGTTAGAGTATAAAAAACATACCATGCCATTGCAGTAATCACAATTCTCAAAAATCTGCTTAGCTCCTCCAATCCACAAAGGACTGCAGACACACTTTGGTGACCTTTACAGAAGTTGTCAGAATACAACTTTCTTCCAACTGACACAGTTACAACTTATTCTGTTTGACACTCTCCGTGGAAGAAAAAAAAATGGAAGGAACATTTTGGTTCAGTTTAGATTAAGTTTTTATGCTTGCAACTGCAAGATAGAGCTTCTGTTTTTAAATGATATCTACAGTCTTAGAAAAAATAATTAAAATAACTTGCAGAAATAGTTCTGAGGTGTTCCATTATCTGTGAGTATGGTTAAGGGTTTGTTTGTGAGAAGGTGCCTATAAATTAACATTGAAAGATCTGAGCCCTGGACACATATTCTTGGCCTGCAGCAGTGGGTATCTCAGATCACCTTAGATTCTGACAGACCCTTCCTCACTGAAACTTAACATCAATGGTTGAAAACAGCAATGATTCCCAGGAAAACACTGGAATATTCAGTGTTCATGAAGAAGGATAAAAAAATGATAGCTTGTGGGGGCGGGGGGACAGAAGTTAATGAGGAAAACCAAAGGACAAGGAAGGAACAGCATAAATGAAACGAGATCTTTAAATCTGCAGTGTGAATTAGAATTCACTTCAAATTCTCCAGAATTAATATGGGCAAGTTTCAGGAATAAGAGTAATATTTGAAGTACTGGCAACTATGAGAGACACAGTAGGGATAAAAGTGCAGGAAGAGACTGGAAAGACTGCCAGTGGTATCTTTTGAGACAAAGGAAGTCACTGTGACTTCTTGAGCAATAAAAAACAATGCAAAGTGATGCTACAGGAGGATCCTTCCAATAACAAATCACATAACAAACAAAATTGATTAGATAACAAAATTTGATGGGGATATTGGAATACGAATAGATTTTTACCAATCCAATAGGGAATACAATATTTTGCCAACCAAATAGGATGTGGATTTATAGTGCAAGAATTGGCTAACACTCAGTCTGAACTTCCAAAGCAACAACATGCAGTTGTTGCCCATTTTCAAATGATCTGACTGTACCAAGTGGAGTTGGGGTCATCTTAGCTACAATACTTAAAGATAGTCATAAGAAATTCCTGGCTGCCCAACAAACCCAGTTTTCCTCAGAACTTAGCTCCTAAGAGACCATTGTAGCAGTCTTTGACTGAGCCATCTGCAGTGTACCAGCCTCCTTCCTGAACCAGAGGACCCAGCTCTGGACACAGGATCAGTGATGTAGTCTCAGCAGTTACAAGCAGAGACAGAGCCATGCTTCCCTCACCCCACTGGCTGTTTTCCATCTGAGGTAGATGAATTATACAGCTCTCCTCTCATGCAGGAGAGCGTGTGATGAGTCATACCCAACCTCCTGCACCTCCACCCCATAACCCCCAGATGCTTTCCAGCAGGGCTGCTCTGCAATTTCTCAGTCTGCGCCGGTGCACAGGATTACCCCACCTCAAATGCAGACATCTGGGTTTCATCCAAGCTAATGACAAAGCTGGCAATAAGTCTGAGTCTTCCGAGGGCCAGCACACTTATTGCCACACTCAGCAAGTAGCACAGCAGCCTGAACCACAGCTGCTATTATTGGAATTCTGAAGTAATAAATGCTTCCCTTTCCACTTTCTTTTCAGCACCACTCTATTCAATTCCTAATACTTGGTGACCTTCACATGTACTAACACATGATATATTTAAACTCAGAAGATGCTTTTGACACTTCCTGGCTTTGCTGCAAATGCACTTCTACTACCATGACATTTTCTTCATGACAGTTTTCTTTTTCTCAAGATCTAACAAAACACGGGTCCAGAAATACATTCCCATGATAGTTCCAATAAACAGTTATCACCCTTGGGTAATGGGTGATGTCAGCAGGATTTGTATTCACATGTGGGGAGTATAATTTGTCTCATAAATAGTATGAAAGCTCACATTTCTCAAGTTCAGTGTTGCTGTGAATTTCAGTATCAACAGGAACTTGCACTGAGCCTCATATTCAAGCTGAAGGACTGGCCAAGTGTCTTTGTAGACCAGTCATTTTCCCTTTGGAATAAAGCAAATTAGAGAAATCTGTGTGTATGTTTTCAAAGCAGTTTCCTCAATCACATATAGAACATAAATGGAGTGAAGACACCAACCATCTGGCAGATTTCCAAAGGAGCTCAGGACCAAATCATTCATCCTTATGCTGGAAACTAAGAGACTGGAAGGCTTTCCCAGTATCTGTAAAACATCAGCACCATGTTCAAGGATGAGCAGTCAGGTATCATCTGTGTTGACAAAGAGGTGGAGGAGGACAAGAATAGGTGCCAGGGTAAGTCATGCAGTATCTGAAGCAGAGGAGAGGAGGCTATATTAAATCTCTGCCTGCCAACTTTGCTAGTTGCCGAGTGCTTTTGAAAATCTGATGCCTCATTTAGCTGACTAAGGAGTGATTGAGCTGTACCAGAAATACAAACCCAGCTGTCAGAGAAAACTGGAAAATATGTTCTGGAGTAGTTTTTCAAAATCAAATTCTTTTTCTCTATATAGAACACTGGTTTATTTTAAAATGTTTAATTAGGATAAGTTTAGCTGTGTGTATCACCTGAAAATAGGAAAAACACACTAAAACTATGCAGGTTAGTCCAAATGCATGCTGACTAAACTTCATGCACTCACTAACCGCCAGATATTCATGCCATAGCAGAGAAAAACATTGTGACTAAGATTGCAGAGACATTTAAATTTTTATCTGAAGATTATTTTTTTACCCTTACCCCTTCACTTAGAAATCTAAGTACTTGGTGAGAAAGATGCCCATAGCCCAAGATTATGAGAGTAGTTGTGGAATACTTGGCAATGACTATAGATGTTTTTGTGTTTGAAGGGTTTTAGGACCTTCAAAAGCTCTATGAATGTCACAAAGAAAAGAGGAGATGACCTGCTTCCACCTCTGTCATTACTTAAGTCTCATGCCTGGAAGGTGTGAAATTAAATTCTACTATACAAACACAGGAGGTGTGGAAGATTACTGAAAAATTAGCAGTGATGTGGAGCTAATGAAAGAACTTGAGGTGTCAAAATGAATGTGAGATGAAAGGAAGCTTGTGAAAGACTGAATGATCAAATGGCCCTGCAAAGTGTCACACAGAGGTCCAGTTTTGGAACGTATGTCTAAAACATGTTCTCATATTCTGAAACTACTTCATATGGTACCATTGTGCCCTACATGGCATATCCTCATTGCCACTTGACATTTCAGCATACCACACACCTTCTGCTTCCTTGGGTTTCTTACTTATTACTCTCTGATTTATTACAAATTCCTGAAATTGAATCTATACCTACCAATCTGTTTCTGAGCAAGAATTTGTGAGGGTCATTCAAGAAAAAGAAGAAATTTGCCTATTTAGTTTTCTTGGCCCCAGCTCCACATCCCCATGGGGCAGGAGAATAATTTTGATCTCTACTCTCTAATTCATATACTCTATTTCCAGTCCCCCACCCCCAGGAATATTTCTGCCTCCTGTGTGCCCAGGGACCTCCTGGTTTTTGGCAGTACTTCATGGTATGTCAGTATTCCAGAGGTCAGCTGAGGATAAACTCTAATTGAAAGGTATTAAAATAGTCTGCAAGAGACAAAAATTCGAAACCCCAAATCTATCAAAATTTGTTACTGATGAAGCGTCTGGGCTGACCATGTCCTTAAAATATGCATCAAAAATAATCTTTCAAACCTCTTCTTCAGGTCTCCATTGGCACCCCCAGAGGAAATAGTTTCAAACTGTTCAGAGAGCAGCAATCCTGTTCTGGTCCTTGAAATCCTTCGAGCAACACACACCCACACAGCAGCATTATTTTCTCACCTCCTCCGTATAAAAACAAAACAGAAACGTGAGAACAGTGGGCTGGAGATGGAGCTGCGGAAAGTGAAGTTGGAAGGATTAATTATGTAATACGCCCCCTCTCCCGCCCTTACCCACAGCAACACGAGTGAGGTAAACCCAATCCTCCCAGCTGACAACTCAGAACTAGAAAGTGCCCGGAGGAGTGAAAGCAAAATAAACGTGTGGGGAAGGTGGCGATGCACTCCTACAGAGGAAGATGTCATTAGGAAAAGGCTAAAAACAAGTTCAAATCACCTTTAGCCTCTTCCCTCCCCTCCCCAGCAAGACCTCTCCCTCCGCCTCTTCCCCTCTCCTCCCCCCAGCTCCTCCTCCCCCCTTTTCAGCAGGAGCTGCAGCCGGATCGGGACTATATCCCTACAGTTCACGGCTCTCTGACGGAGCGTGGATCCTCCTGAAAAACTTCAAGTAAAACAGGAGCTGGGAGAACACACACACGAAGATATATTAAGAAAGCAGGTTTGCTACTTAACTCGGAGGAAAGAAGCTGGAGCAGACTTCTTCGGTTGCTCTCTAAGAGCCTTGCCGAGAGTCCTTGCAAAGAAAAGTGTTGCTGATTCAAAAGAAGAGGAGGGATGGGGAAGAGAAAAAAAAAAATTGTGCATGTCTGTGTGAGAGGGAGACAACGTGTGTGTGCGTACGTGTGAATGCGTGCTCGTGTGTGAGAGGGTGTAGGCGACGGGTGGGGGGAGCTTGAAATTATGTATTTTTTTCCCTACGAAAGACACGTGAATGCAATTCCCAGTGAGGGGCACCAAGCTCTGCCCAAGAGCAGAAGGGGTAGGGAGAGGGAAAGGGAGAAGGAAGGGAAGGGGAGAGGGGGGGAGGAGGGAGGGAGAAGGAGGAGGAGAAGGGATTTCTATTTCAGAAGACATTCATAGAAAGAGGGTGGCAAATTCTGTGACCGTCTTTAAAGGAAGTGTCCTGGGACATAGAGAGAAAGAAAGAAGCCCAAAGAAGGAAAATAAAGGGCTATGATTTCCTTGTCCTGTTGCTTTGTCTCTGGCTCCCTCTGCCTCTGGAAGAGTAGCCACAGGACACAAAGATGCCCAGCTGGTCACTGCACGCCCAAGTTCAGTTTAGCTGGTGCTTCTCTCCTGTTTAGCCTGACTGCTTTCTCTGAAGGGGAGGACTCATAGCCCGACAGCCTTTTAGTTTAACCTGAAGAGTGTGTGCCGCCTCTCTCTGCCCACCCCAAGAACTCGCTGGAGGTGGAGGAGAGGGGAGAAAGAGGAGGACTTGAAAGTGCCTGAGGAGCTCCCGATGCTAAGAGGAGACAAACATTCCTGTGGACGACGAAGAAAGGACAAAGCTGACTGATTTATTGCTGTTTTCCATATTTTTTTTTTTCTCCCTGTCCTTTGGCGCACACCAGTGTTTGGAGATCTTTGAAAACACAAACCAAAACACCAGCCCCGAAGCCCCAACCCCTTGGCTAGCTCTTATGGGAATGAAACACTCCTCCCGCTGCCTGCTCCTAAGGAGGAAAATGGCGGAGAACGCTGCCGACAGCACCGAGGTGAGTAAGGATGCGAGCCGGAGCCGGCGCCGCGCTCCCCCAGAGCCGAGCTCTGATCCCTCAGCAGAAGCAGCGGGAAGTGCAGAACAACTTTCCCGGCCCCTCCGGCCAGCTCCTGCCTGCCGTGCTGCTCTGGTTTCCTGCATTCGCCCCCCCTCTCCCCCCGCTTCCCTTCCCCCGGATCCCCCCGTTCCCCGTGGGCAGAGAAGTTTGCCCGCGCCGAGCCCTCCAGGCGCTCGGGGCTGCTCCGCGGCCGCTTCCCGGGAAGTTGCGCGGCCGTGCGGAGCGGAGCCCCCGCGGGGCGGCGGGGCTGGGGGCAGCGGGGGCGGGCGGCGGCAATTCGGGTGTTGGACGCGCCGAAAGGGACGGACCGACCCTTGCGGCAGCACCTTGGCCAGCTCCCCGTGCTTTCCGCCGGCAGCCTTGGCTGGGATCGTTCGGGGCCACTTTAGGAGCATCCGTGTCTCTGCAGCATCCTGGATATTACCAGAGCGGAGCTGCCCGAGGTGGGGGTTGTCCGGCTGGCCTGGGCAGTGCCGAAAATAGCTTTGCACTGCCTTCAGGCCGGGAGGGTAGCCTGCGAGGTCTCAGGTTTTCTGCAAGAAATCCACCCCCCACCGCCGCTCCCCCACCCGTTACCTTCTGCTTCCTCAACATTGGGGTTGAGCAACCCCTGTTTACTTGTCTGGGGCTGTCTTGACCTCACTGAGACTTCTCAGGGGATACAGCAGTGTGCGAAGTCTCGGGTCTGGAAAAGCAGAAGGATGCAGGATGCAGTCCCAGCATCTCTGCGAGCATGTGAGAAGGAGACAGGCGAAAGTGCGAGCGTGTGCCAAACTCGCTGTTTCTATTTATAGGCTGTGCCTAGCACTCTGACTGAACACTTAACACATGCTTAAGCAAGATGCAGCACAGACGTGTACAGACCCCATGGACATGCACCCCAAACAACTTTACAGCTTTGCCCTTGCAGGGGCAGCACTGAACCTTCTCCCCAGTTACCCTGCAGAGGGAATAAAGAGCAAAACCTACTGTGAACACATGACTATTCCATTCTTTATTATTTCCACATCTCTGCCCAATGTCTCCTTCTTTCAGTTAGTCCTCCCAGTAGGTGTCCTGCTCGCTCATGAATTCCATCCACATTTCTCTTCACAATAGTGTTCTCTCTGCTTGACCTTCATAAATATGCCTCCTTTGCCATGCCAGGTGAAGAGCCAAATTTTCTTAAATGAATGTGATGTAAGCACTAAATCAAAGAACATGCCTGCTACTGTGCTACAACCCCATAGAGTACTGCTTGCAGAAGAGGCATCTATAAATAGAAAGAAGTCTGGCTGCACATCTGTAAACTGTTGTAGTCCTGACAGCACATATTGCATTATAGGTCCCAGGATCCCAGGACAGGATTGTAACAAAAAATGTACAAGCACAGACAGTTCCTTTCAAAGCCGTTTTTGTCTATGGAAATTGTTTTTAGACAGGGAAAATAGGTGAAAAGATCTCTTCAAAGACTCATCTTCTATTTCATTCACTCTTAGCACATTTTTATTGTTTAATCATGTTTTCTTGCTTGTGCAATGCAGCACACACTGCAATGTTATTTTATGGAGAAGGTCTTTTTTAACAAAAACAGATTCATTCCAATGTTGCATACAGGTTAGGAGAATATTAACATGCTGTGCTTCATCTCCTAAGAGTATCCATCAGTGACAGAATTCTGAAATGAGAGTGAAAATATTGCAGATTAGGCATATCCTGCTCCACTTCTACCTTCAGAAAATCAGAAGGGATACATTTGTAACCCCTGCCTAGATATTTTCTATTTTATTAATATTACTTATTTCTGATATGGTTTGAGAGAAGTTGTCTGTCTGCATATGTGCAGAGGTAGAAGTGCACCAAGCCAAATATGCCAAGACCTGTGAAGCTCTTTTACTCGTCAATCATCTATATTTAGCAAAGCCATATGATACCATTGTGACCTTCAAACCTGTGTTTCTCTAACTTTCTCCTGAAGTTAACAAATAGGTGTGACAGAAGGAATACAGGAAAAAATATCTCCCTTTTTGACTTACTACAGTGTCAGAGAAAATTAGGAATTGGTATAAATTTGCTTCATTTGAAAGAAATGGGGTACTAGTAATACACATTATTTGATAATAAATTTCTAAAGAATTTTGATGTCACAGTCATAGAGGCATGTTATAAACAAAATCAGCAGTAATGAGAGATGAAGAATTAAAACATTTAACAACTAGACAGGATGCCCTATTACCAAATTATTCCAAAGACTTTCTGGTTCTTGCGTAGATTGATTTGACCCAATTTACTTGCGTTACAGCTTCACAGTATATTTTTCATGTTTCAGGGTTGTTTTGTTTTTGTTTTTGTTTTAATCTACCACAACTAAGAGCATTTATCAAAGTTTTGGTCAAATATGGCAAGTATACTCCTTCAGTTGTAGGGCAGTTTAAAACAATACATTAAGTCAAGGAGCATGGACACTACATGAAAAACAGCTTTTTATTCCCCTGACTACCCTCTGTTGCCCATGCTATCTCTTGAGCTTAAAGAAATGATGAGAACAGGCACAGACAAGGAAAAAACAAAGCTACAGGAAGACAGCACTCACTGTTTCCTCAAGCAAAGATACAGAATAGAAAAGCAATTGCTCACTAGCATTGCTTTCCAGTCAAGGAAGACAACTTGTGTTACCAGGAAAATTAGAGTGTGCTCTGATTTTATGGTTCCAGCTGTACAGACATTTACATCACTGGTTTCCCCACAGCCTTATATCTTGATACAAAGCATGGTCAAGTGAGTCCAAGTATTGCCACAGGTGCTGTTGGGCCTTGGATCAGAATATCAGAACTATCAGAATGGTTTTGCAATTTATTTCTCTGATAACAGCCTGGTATCAGTCTGTCTGCTAGAGTTTATGTAGGACCAATGGTTTGTTGGATGTGTTTATAGTACCCTGAGAATACACAGTGTTTTGTATAAAAACAAAACTCAAGGGGGCAAAAAAACTCCTAAGATTTTTCTATTTAGACCCTCACTAAATGCCATGAGGTCCCACTAATAGGAAACTTGCCAGAATGGTTTCAGATCCGTGTGTGCAGCACACAAGGAAAAAAGATGCAGAAAATATTTATTGCCCATGGCCATCACATGAATATTTAGAGATGTTCCACTGGAACAAAAGAATCTTTCCTTCTTGAGAATCTCTCCTCAAGATACAAGAATGAACTTCTGTATCTTTAGTCACAAAAGGAGGCTTGTCTAAATAAAACAAGACTGTTTGCACAATAACAGATGCAGAATTGTGTTCTCTGCGAATAATTAAAGACACTCTGACAAAACAAAGTAAAAGAGAAACTGTCTTTTGTAGAAAATACGTGCAAAGGTTCTGCAAAAAGAAAGAAGTTTGATTTCACAAGAAGTGTGCCTGACTTGTGAGTCTGTACCAGGTGAAAGGGAACAACCATAAAATCATAGAATAATTTGAGCTGGAAGGAAAATTTAAGGTCATCTACTCCCCCCATCTTGCCATGGGCAGGACATCTTCAACTTGACCAGGTTGCTCAGAGCCCCATCCAACCTGACACTGAATGTTTTCATGGATACGGTGTTAATCACCTCTCTGGGCAACCTGTGCCAGTGTTTCACCATCCTTATTGTAAAAAATTTCTTCCTTATGTCTTGTTTATATATAAGTCTAGTCTAAATTGACCCTCTTTTAGTTTAAAACCATCATGCCTTGTCCTGTCACAACAGGTCCTGCTACAAATTTTGTCCCCATCTTTCTTGTAGGCCCCCTTTAAGTACTGAGAAGGTGCAATAACCACGAAGTGCTGCAGCAGCACAAAGTTCCAGGGTTTATGTGCACATCCAAAAGATACCTACCTGTCACAGGCTAGAGTCTGACTGAAACAATCCTAGAACTTGAAACTGATCTGGTTTTGTACAATCTAAATGCTCAGTAACTTCATAAAAAGCAATTCTTGTGCTGAAGACTTCACAGTCTGTAGAAAGAAAATATTCCTGTCTCATTACTAAGAATAGAGAGATCAGTTAATTTATTTATGGTAGCATAACGGAGTCCTCCCAGAATGACTTATTATGCAAACCTTGGGCTTTGGTTAGATTTGGGGTAACATGCCTAATAGATGTACTTCCCTAAACAGATGAATAAAACTGATTCAGGATTATGTGATCTGGATCAGCAAAGGTAACTGACTGTTCTGTTGTCAGAAGTGGGGAGGTTAAAGTGTTCTATCTGCATGAAATCCAGTCATAAAACTACTGAGGGGGTAAAAATATATTATAGAATCTGTGGAAACCATGAGCTTCTATTTGTGATTTATGAGTAGGAAGAGGAATTTCTTCTTAATAAACTACCGAAGCAGAAATTAACAGAAGCAGAGCAGGAGCGTGTGTAATAGAGAAAATTGGACTGAATTTATTCAGTAAACCAAAGTTCTGCTCCTGGTTATTATACTGGGTGTTCTTGCAGATAGAATTAATTCTCACTAAGATTTTCCATTCATTATATTGGATTCTATGGTTCATTAGTGAGAGGTCTTGTAGAACTTTCTTATTTGGTGTTATTAAATTGCTTAGAACAGTATATATGAATGAAAATCATGAGTGGGTGATGTTTACCCAAGAGAGAAATGGCACTGCTGTATGCTGTACATCTTGGACTAACAGAAGTCACGAGAGGTGTGGTCTGGTGTGGTCTGGTGTCACAGAGCCAGCTGAGGAGGCAGTTTGTAACATGAATTTCAACCTTACTGAGTGGCCACATGCCTGTGTCACATCACTTTGAACAGGAAAAGTTGTGGCTGTATGCAAGTGGTGTAGGTGAGCTACAGAGACCAGACCACTGGCTCATGATCCAGAGGTTTTGCACAGCTGACAAGGCAGTCAGAAATCTGACCCAGGATGTCAGGGCTTCACTGAGGGTGTAGCCAAATTCCCAAGGGCTATAGAGG